CACAAGTGATCTGGATAATCAAACACCAGCACTGTGGCCTTCAAAACTCAACCAAATTTCCTAACAAAGCACTCCATACTATCAGAAAAAAGCTTTTCCAGTATCATTCTAGCACTTTCAAAACAATGTGCAACACCAATGTTTAAAGACTAAAATGAACCTTCTCCAATAATGCTCACACTCCCCACCTAAATTATTCAGTAATGGAACTTCCAACAGAAATGGCAGGGCCCCTGCAGTGGTGGGGAAGACAAGCCAAGCTATACTTTGCTGGCCCCTGCTGTCCCATACTGGCAGTACCACCTGCACCAAGGAGCCCTTCCTAATGAGCAGATGAAACCCCACACTGCTCAGGGGAGGGCTGAGCGGTGGGATGCTGATACTGTCAGATGCAGGGCTCTGATCATTCCCAGCAGTCCTAGGGGTTAACACAGGTCTCAATTCCAGGTCAAGGACACTGAAGTCAAGATCCAAACACCAAAGAGAAGCAGGAATGCAGGAATCGAGGTCAGGTTACCAGCCCAGGATCAGGAACACATAAATCAGCGGTTCTCAACCTGTGGGTCGCGACCCCTTTGGGGGTCAAACGACCCTTTCACAAGGGTCGCCTATGTGATTAATCACTATACTTTAATTATGTTCAATTTGTAACAATGAAATTGGGGGTCACCACAACATGAGGAACTGTATTAAAGGGTCGCAGCATTAAGGAAGGTTGAGAACCACTAACTTAAATAAAAGCAACAGGAGAGATGGAAGAGTAGAGAAAACACACTGAGTGTTGAAGAAATAAGAAAAGTTAGATCACTAAGAAACAGAACACATCTGAACCCTTAAATACAAGGTCACATCACAAATTCAGTCTAGCCTACGCAGTCTGGTCTAACCTCAAACAGCCAATCTGACTTTCTGATTAACCCAGGTTACTTCACAAGTAAAAGACTAAAAGGTCCTCATAATGATCAATGGTGACAGCCTTAACATAACTTCCTAGCCCTACCTACCTGTCCAATATTAGTTCCAATCTCCAAGGAGATCACAGCTTTATTTCAGCATTAACCCTCCAAATAATAATCCCATTGCCTTCCATTTTCAGTCTCAGCAATTTCATTCCCTTATGTTCCCTCTCACTTTCATTCTTTTCTACTCTCCTCTGTTTCTTCTCTCATAGCCTACAAATAGGAACAGGGCATGCATGCCTTCAGGCAATCAACCTGGACATGAGTCTGTTAGGAAACAGTAGGAAAGCTGGTAGTCTACACAAGCAGGATTTACACTGCAGGCAGGGTCAGGTGGGGGCTCCCTGTCAAGGCCCGAAGATCATGCCTCCCTGGCAGCAATGTGTGTCACTCTACTCAAGTCCAGCCCACAGGCCTGAACCACAGCACTTCAGCTACTCTCTCCAACTGTTCACTCCTGTGTCCTGATTCTGATCAACCGTGGCCCTAACTCTCCTGGGTGTCTCTAATCCTGGCTCAGAAAGCTAATCCCGAGTGCTTCTTCCAACGTCTGCTCTGAATGCTGGGCTTTTTCTATGATTAATCCTGCCAGAGAGCTAGCCAGGCACCTGCTTTACTGTTATAGGACAGCGAAGAACATGTCTAATGTCTTCATTCAGTGGCTATCCCACTATCATGCAAAATGGGCATAAAATGCTATCTGCAGAGGATGCTGATCAAAGTCTGGAGTACCCAGCCAGTTGAAGTGTGTCCTTCCTGAGCTCTAGAAGACCCTCTGGTGACAAGGGCTCTGCCCACGGCTGCCCTGTGACGCTGTCATTCAAGCAGATGTAAACCAAGCCTGTCACCTCCATGCGGAAAAAGAAGAAGGCCGTTTCCTCAGGTGTGTGCAGTTAAAACTAAAGGGTTAAAATTTTCCAATTCTTCAGGGACTGTCCTCAGGTCAAAGGTCAAAACATTATTTTAAGTATAACTTTTACAAGGTTATCTTATTGAATCTGATTTATTATATCTGAACTGATTTTTAGATTAAGTCTTGGAGGTAATTATTTCTGGTAATTAAGAAGTCATCTTTTCAAACATTTCTTATATTTGGCAAAATAAACTTGGGGAAGGGCTCCCTCCCTCAAAATTAAAAGTGAGAGATAATAATTATTTAACTATCAGGTTAATATCACAATTCATCTTTGTATAGATACTGCAAGGAAATCTTAAGGATGATTTCCAGGATAAGCTTAATATCTAACAAAGTAATCCTTCTAAAGTCCCAAAGTGCACATTAAAACACTAGTACAGGGCTACTTCAAGTGTATTTCTCATTTCACCCGCTGCAATGGAAAACTTACAGCACTTTGGACCATGGTCTCATAGTTCACTTATATATCTCTACAGTCCCACTTTCAGAGCTAAATACAGTGGGTGCTCAGTAACTCACTTTCTACATGTACAAGGTCAAATCTAACTCCTTACTCATACATTGCTTCTATGTATTTGTACTTGTTAATCTGGCTTGTGTGCCTAAGGAATGAGGGAACAAACTGTCTTAGCTGTGATGAAAGGTTAAGCTTTTTCAAAGAGACCAACAATATATGTATTTATATATTGTATTATATAATAATAGATGGCATATATCAGTCATCAAGTACACCTTATCAATACATTGGTTAATATGTATATTACCACCCTCCTCATGCTAAACTATCACACATGCTCAAGAATTCAGGGTATCAAACAGTGGTCATAAATGTGACCATTACCAGTCTGTAGGTCCCAAGACTGCCTTAAAAGTATTTCTTAAGAGTTGGGTTGTTGTTGTTTTTTAATATATATTTTTACTGATTTTTAGAGAGAGAGGAAGGGAGAGGGAGAGAGAAAGAGAAACATTGATGTGAAGAGAGACATATCAATGGGCTGCCTCCTACATGCTCTCACCAGGGATTGAGCCCACAGTCCGGGCATGTGTCCTGACCAGGAATCAAACCAGCAAGCTTTTGGTGCATGGGATGATACCCAACCAACTGAGCCACCCTGGTCAGGGCAAGAGTTGGGATTTTTAAATTTTATCTTTATTGTTCAAAGTATTACATATGTCCCTTTTTCTCTCCCCTTTAATCCCCCCCACTTCTCCTACGCACCCCCTTCGCCTACAGCACTACTATCTGTGTCCATGGGTTATGCATATATGCATAATAGCATCCCAACAGAGGCTCTCAAAATAAGGTCAAATTACAAATGGCGACAATTTCCTATTCTCACTTTTAAATTCCTTCAAAACTTGAGTCAGCATTATACAGTTCCAAAGGTTATCAAATTAAGAAAAACGTTTTTAATGTCAAAATGAAGTACCTTCTTTATTTACCTTTAAGACCGATTAACTGTGACTAAGCCAGTCCAGATTACTAAAACAGATCCCAATGTGAATTAGCACAGGGGAACACACACAGCACACACTGAAAACAGCAGGACACGATTACTTAAAAGTGCTTTCTCTAGTGTTGGGGGTGGAGAGGTCAGGGGGAGGGGTTAGAACTTAGTTACAGAGGGCAGATTTCCCTTAAGGCCCAGCTAAGTAAAAGCGGATGTTATGAACAGACAACGTGGGGCAATGCAATACTCATGCAGAAGAGTCTAAATAAAATGACTTTCCTTCCACTTACTCTGCAGTGGCACAAAATCAAAAGAGAAACAATTCATTCTAAGAAAAACAACATTTTATTTCAACAGATAATCCAGAGCAAAGGTCTTAGCATCTTCATCTTTAGAGGTCTATAGGTTATATGCAAAATTTCATACATGTCTGCACCTTTCTGAGAAAAAGTCTATAGCTCTCATCACATAGGAAAATATGACCAAGAACCCACAGAGAGAAATCAGTTTTCCATCATTAATTTCTCACTATTTTTAATGACCCAGCAAAGAGAAATGCTCAACAATGAAGGAGGCTAAAATAGTAACATTTTGCTCACAATAAACTTCAACACAGGCAGCCTTTTATATTAATGTAATATAAATCCACTCCCCAAAATCAAGCAAGAAACTGAGGCTCCTCCTCTCATCAAACTACTTTGATAAACTCTCAAAATAGGGAATTAACAAGAAGACAGCTTAGTCTGCAAACCCATTCTCAATTCTTACAAACTCGAACATTATTTATCACTCTAAGAATTTTAAATTCAATGACAATATATCCATATCTTATTTTCTTACTTTTCTTTAAATTGCCCTCCACCCCAACTGTCAATTTTCCTAAAATATCTTATACAGAGCAAATATTCATTAAACATCGGAACAAACAAGTGAACAAATTACAATTATATGGGCCAACTAAGAGTGGATGGAAACCATCAGTTCATTACAGGTGCCAACATAAGCCTGCCAGGTACAATCTATGGGCCAATCTCCATTTCTGGCCACTCTTTGATTTTTTTTTAATGAACATATTAAGTGGCATGACACTCACAATAAGGACAGAATGTGACAGCATTATCACAAGGTATACATTTTAATACATCTTCCAAACCAGGGAACAGGGCAGTACTGAGTGGAGATGAAATAAACAAACAGAAGCCGAGCCGGTCAGGACCGAGTAAGGTTGAGGTTAGTGGCAACAGCATGTGCGTGGTTTCCAGGAAACCTTCAGTAAGACTGCTGTTAGCCCTAGCCCCGCACCTTGCCCAACCCAGTGCGCTGCCTCTTCTTCCAGCTCCCCGCCTGGCTCAGTGCAGCACTGCCCTGCTCCCAGGGGTGCAGCCGCCCGGCCTGAACTCACCTGGGCCGTGGAAGGGCCTGAAGTTTAAAACATGTTAATGCATCATGCCAAAAGTGCAGCGAACATGCATACTTCATACACTCATGGTTTCAGAGAGATAGAAAACGTGCCACCAATAAGACAACCTCTGTACAAAACACCCTCAAAGAATTCGAAGAAACAATTTTATGGACACCCACATTTACCACAAAGAACAGAATAGTAGTATTACTACATCGAGAAACTGCACCTCACAGATTAAAGTTCCAAAAATAATTATGTGCTTCACCTACTTTAACTGCCATTATTTGTCCACTTGGTTTGTGGACCATTTTGTTGACAGAACCATACGCTCCTCGTCCAATTTCTCCCAGGTCCTTCAAGTCCTCTGCGGTGAAATCCCAGTGCTGTTCAGGGGAGATCTTCAGTTTTCCTGACGATTCAATGCTGTGTGTTCTCAGTCTCTCTCTGTTAAAATATTGAAAAGCAATTTCCACAGTTTAAATATGGTTTGATTTATTTATTTTAGCTAGCAGTGATTAATGTGTGGGAAATTTGTTTTCTCATAATTTACTAAAACAGTCTGACCTCCAGATTTTGGGAGCTTTTTGTTTGTATTATCTTGGTTTTTTACACACTGAATTAAGAAAGGCTGAAATTTAGGTAATCCATAAACACAGTTTTAATGGGATTTATAAAACTAATTTCCATTTATTGAAGAAACTAATTCTGCACACCAGTTTTTATTTCCAAATATAGATCTTTTCCAAACTTTGCAAACTGTATTATCAAATGTGGAATCCCAAGAGCTATAAGCCCCATTTCCAAAAAGTTCTCATCCTACCTCACCCAATATTGTTTATTCCAGGTTCACAATCCTGGTGCAGCTGTTCACAAACTCTGCTGCACATTCGAATCATTTGGGGAGAATTTTTTAGACCCTACAGCAATTAAATCAGAAAATCTAGGGACAAGAGGCAGGAAACCATATTTTTAAAGATCCCCAGGTGATTCTGGCAGAGTTTAGGAACTAGCACCTCAGTGTACTGCCGTGTTCATGATAATGCCATGCTCAGGAAGGGGGATAGTTAAATGAGTATTCCGCTGGCTCTAAGATGAAACTGCCACGTGCTATTCAAATTTGAAACTTTTAGCCTTTGTTCATTAGATAAAACAATGGAGTGAACATAAATAATTCATAGACAAGAGCGCTTACTCATTACAGATTTCCATTAAATAAAAACTTCACCTCCAAAATTCCAACCTAGAGAACATATTAACTTCTAACCATGCTTCATAAAAAAAAAAAAATCCAATTAAAACTAAAAAATCAATCTCATTTCTCACTCCCTCTGTCTGTGTGTGTGTGTCTCTCTCTTTTATCACATACACATACACTGCAATGTGTAGGAATAAACTGCATCAACTAGAGTGAAACATACATAAAAGAAAAACATTCCACTAAGTATCATCTACATTTTTTTAATTTCATATTAAATGATCAGAATCTCTTTTTAAATCTCATCTGGAGATACAAACAAAAGTTTATATGCTTGGGTTTTTTTTATTTTTCTTCTTCCAACATTTATGAACATTTCTCAGATTTTTTGGTTTTTGTAGCTATTTTTAAGGTTCTCAAAATATTTAGAATTTTAAAAGTGCTCCAGAATAACCAGGTACGCTAATATTAATAATAACCAAGATTTGGTGAAAAGGTAAAACCTTCCAGTTATAAAATAAATAAGTTCTGGGGATGTAATGTACAGCATGGTGACAATAGTTAATAGAGTATTATATATCTGAGAGTTGCTAAGAGTATAGATCTTTAAAGTTCCTATCATACACAAATTTGTAACTGTAGTTGGTGATGGATGTTAACTAGACTTACTGTGGTGATCATTTCACAATATACACAAATATTTAATCATTAAATCATGTACCTGAAATGAATATAATGCCAATTATACCACAATAAAAATAAATAAAACCTCTTCAAGGTGAAAAAATAACAATAGCCAAGATTCAACATTACAGTTCAAAGATTAATACACTGTTAAAATAACAACTTAGTGAACTAGCATACCAAAAACCAAATTCTCAAATCACAATACTAACATGTCATAACACCAGCCTTCACTCATCCAGTTTCCGAATACTTTCACCGGTGTTCCTCAGACTCTAGAACAGGGGTGGGCAAACTTTTTGATTCGAGGGCCACAATGGGTTCTTAAACTGGACCAGAGGGCCGGAACAAAAGCATGGATGGAGTGTTTGTGTGAACTAATATAAATTCAAAGTAAACATCATTACATAAAAGGGTACGGTCTTTTTTTTTTTAGTTTTATTCATTTCAAACGGGCCGGATCCGGCCCGCGGGCCGTAGTTTGCCCACGGCTGCTCTAGAATCTAGAGTCACAGGAGCCCGGAAATCAGTGGCCTAAGTGACCAGTCAGGAACAGCCGTGAAGCCTGAACAAAGTTTTTAAGATGGAAATCAGATCCAGGCAAGTACATCAAGCCCAGAGACTAATTTCCTCAGTAATCTCTTCCATGAAGTATACAAATTAAGCCAGGAAATATTCTAGCATCAAAAAGTTCCATGTATAGTGATTATTGTTCTATGATCAATGGCAAGTAAACACCATCTGTATGGTACAGTTTAACCACTGGTGAAATATACAGCACCAGCCTACTGCTGAAGGAGCTGAAGAAAGGTAATTAAAACTGTGTGTAAATTGGAAGCGGCATTTTGAAGTATTCACTAATTAGTATTCACTAATTCAGGGCGATGGCAGAGAGGCTCTGCGGTGGTCCCTAAGCTCCACGTTCCTGGTGCTCACATCTCTGTGTAAGCTCCTCTCTGAGCACAGATGGGACCTGTAACTTGCTTCTAACCAGTAAAATATGGCAACGGATATCATGCTCATGATCACACTGTGTTATAGAACATTTATTGCTAGTATTCCTCAGATACAAAATGAATGATATTTCATTACTACATAAAAATCACACAACAGCTATACTATCTTTGCTAATAGTTTAGCTTACTATATAGGCTGCTATGTGATTTCCAGAAAAAGTCCTTTTTTTTTCTTTTGGAAAGTGAACAGATTGATAGCTGAACTATGCAGGTTACTGTCTTAGGCTAATGAAAATGTTCAAAAATTGATTAAGGTAACAGATGAACAACTCTGAATAACTAAAAGCTACTGATTGGAGAGTTTAAATGGGTGAATTGTGTGGTATAGGAATTATATATGTCAATAAAGCTGCTAAAAGTTAGATAAACAGGAAGATGTGATTACTACCCAGAGCTCCATTTTCTCATTTAGACAGGAAAAGAGTCATGAAAACCACAGAAAACTATGCTCTGGAATGTCACCAGGGCATATCCGTAGTCTTCAATAATATGGGCTGGCCATCTTTTCAGTGATCCTGAACCAATTTCACAGCTACTGTTTTAAGTGTTCCCAACCACAATGGCTTCCAAAGGACTGTGCGTAGAACAGACACAGTGCTCTAGAGACTAGCCCAGAAGCCGACCTGAGCCGTCACCACTGAACTCTAGCAGTGCATCAATGAGGCAACTGTACCTAGTGGCCAAAACCTTAGCTGCAGTTTTTCATCTGAGGAAAATTTGTCCAACAAGATTTAAGTGTTACTTCTACTAGACAGTATCAGGAATTCCTAATCATTTCATTATTAATTTCTTACCTGAAAATTCAATGACTCCATAAACCTAGAAGTTATCCACAAGGCCATTGCCCTATCAGTAAATAAGTTCTGCCTACGAACTTATATTTACTCATATTCCTCCTAAAATATATGTTAAGTCTCTACACGGGTAATTCTTAACTAAGACATCCCACCATTCTCTTTTTTTGCCCACTCAGGAAACAAATAAGGGATTGATGTTCTAAGTTTCAAATTAACCCCCCAGCGAACCCTCTCCATAAAATAGTCCAGGAGGAAAAAAAAGTTCATAGAAAAATGAGCAACATTCTCCTTTGGATTTGGAGGTCTTTAATATGAAAACAAGTTTCAGTAGTTCTTGTTATAACAGAACTTGTGATTGGACTATCAAATGACACACATTCCAGTTAAAACTCAGCTATACTAACATTTTTTTAATGCCTAAGATCACAAATCTGAATTAAATACTGTATCTCTTGAATACAGTATTTCGAACAGTATGCATTTTTGGATACATATTAACATCAGGGACACTGTTTAGATATAGACTGATGTCCCGTTAAAATATTTCCTCCTACATAAAGCTAAATAGAATTTCAGTGGCAATATGAACTTGAAATCTAAAGACACTGACACTAAGGATTAAAATCTAAAAAAATATATCAGCTCTAGCTGGTTTGGCTCAGTGGATAGAGTATCGGCCTATGGACTGAAGGGTCACGGGTTCAAGGGCACATGCCTGGGTTGCGGGCTTTTTTTTTTTCCTCTCATCATTTAAGTTTCTATCTCTCTCTTCCTCTCCCTTCTTCTCTGAAATCAATAAAAATATATTTAAAAATATACTAGTATATATCAATCAACCTTATTGGATATGAATCAAATTTGAAAGTCAATTCATGGACATATTGTATCTTACCACCATATTCACTAATTAATATAAATAGACTAGGTGTATGTACCATGGGTTAATATCTTCACTTTTTTTTTTTCCCAAAAGACTACATTCCCTAGCTTTACTGGTATAGAGGGATGCCATTAAGAATGACTGGAAAATATCAAATATTTTAAGGGTTACCTCTCCCAATTGTTTAAGGGAACACTTATTCCCCCAAATCTCTTCTTTCTGTGCAGAGGAACCTGGTCTCTCATCTGAGCTCTGTTTGGACTCAGGAAACAAGTTACAGAGGCAAAAGAAGGGCCCTAGGAGTTTAAGAAAAAGAAAAGTAGAGAGAATGCACCTGGGAGAAGAGAGGGAAAGGCAGAGCTATGCTAGGTGTGGGCCCCTGGGGAAAGGCATTGGGGCTTGTCTGTAGTCTTCAATAATATGGGGGGAGGAGAGAATGAGCCTGCTGGGTCCTCTGTCCTGAGGCGTTTTTTATCCACTCTCTAAAGGTGGGATCTGAGGGGAGGATCTCAATAGAATATTCATCAGCTTTCCTGGTATGTCCTTTCAGAGTCCTGTTCACTACTGATTGGTCAGTGCCAGGGCAGGGCATTAGTCATCACAGCTGGTCCTGATGTCAGCCATGGCATCACCCCACCTGCCTTAGTGCTTTTCTGGGCCTGAAACTGAACCACAACTGAGGCCTAGATGTTCTCTCTGCTTTGACCACAACTCTGCCAACAGACCCTAGGCTTTATTCCTAAGATTATTTGATGTGACCAGAACCTCATTGACTTGACTTTGATGTGGCTTAAGGGTGTGCTCATGCAAGGGCTTGTATGGGACTTATAAGAGGCTGTTCTCTGACCTCCTTGTTCCTCCCCGAAGGGGGG